TTTTTTTTTTTTTTTTTTTTTTAAGCTGTGGGGTTTTTTAGCTGTGGGGAGAGATCCCAAGGTCAACCCCCTCCCCCACACTGCTAACACCTGCATGTGTGGTGTGCGGCTTTGCAGACAGGTCTGTGACCCCACATATTGCACGTCCGTGCTCGTCTGGATGCATCCTCCATGTCTGTAGGAACCAGAACAAAACACTTTCTCTTGGGCAAAGTCTATTTACATGCTTAGATTTAAATTTTATAATCATTAGCAGGAAAACCTGGATACCTGTTTTACAAGAGGCCAGGGCTCTCCTATATGCCTCTTGTAAGACATGTATGCCCCCTGTTCCCTGAAGTAGGTGAGGCTTTTCTCAGTCTTTCTCTGGGACATCAGATATTGACCATGGCTAGATAGGGGGCATTGAGCAATGTACACTGGTGCTCCTAGTGATCCCGAGGAAGCTTTCAATTGCCGGCCTAATGGGTTTTTCTTTCCACGTTTCAGGTTAAATCAAATGCCAGATTTAGGGTCAAAAAGAAATCCCCTTCAAAGGACTCCCCATCTTACCCCCCCACCCCGATAAGACTGTCAAGGATTGTTGGAGGGGTTTTGTTTTGTTTTGTTTTGTTTTGTTTCAAGGTGGTGGGGGGCTGTCTTCAGTTGTAGCATGGGGCAAGACCCACTTTTTAGGATCATCTGCATGGATTTTAATCAACAACTTTCCTTCCACTGAAGGGGCCCAGATGGCATCCTTGGTTTCTTCTGCTTTATTTCTGAGGCGCGCTGTACTTTGAATCCTTTTTTTGTTGCGGTTGCTCTGAAGACCCTACTTTTGTTAAAAGACCCTGAGGGGGTCATACATGCAAGAGGAAAGACTGCAAAGGAGAAAAAGAAAGCATATAACAACACTGTGGGCATGTGCGATACAAGATGCTACCCTGCCATAGTGATTAGCTATGGTGACATAGCCTGTTGCTATGGTGACATAGCATCAGTGGGCACAAACCATGATGCCGACTGACACCTTGTCACTGTAGCAACAAGCTACATTGCATAACTCATCATCACGCCGACATAGCATCTAAAAGTAACTGTGGGCTGCTGGGACTGCACAGTATCGGCGTGTACTGCACCGATACTGCTAAAGGAACTATCAAATGGCTACACAGTACTAAATGCACAGTCAGGAGCACGCTCCCAGTCTGAAGCAAGCAACAATTTCAGTATGCTTTCTGAATAGGCAGATGCCCTGATTTTCAGTAGGAATGTGGCAAGGAAAAGAAAGCCTCTACATACATACTCAAGATGATAATCCATATCAGTAAAATCCTGAGGAAGGAATAGAGAACAGTAGTAATTCAATTTACTCAGTCCCTATGATGAGACAGATATAAGAGTACTCTGTCCCTAAAAGCATTCAAGAAAAGGATGCATGTACTTGCTTGTTATCAAGATAAGAATATTGATGCACCCCTTGCTGTAGAAGCCGACTATCAGTAACATTAAGATAGCAAATACCACAAGTCAATGTGTTAAAGAGTGTGAGTGAGTGAGTGTGTGTGAGAGAGAGATTAAGTTCTTTCAAACAGTGAAAACTGGGGATAATGGAGGAAAATGACTGACCTCTACTGTGACTTTACAGAAACAAAACACAACTCTTCTCCAGAGTCTTTTGGTGTTCTTTCACACAGAAATGTATTAGAAAAGAATTCTGCTACACTGGAAGGGTAACATAGACAGCTCTCTTTGGAAATAAGTCTGAAGTAACTAATGAAATCCTAATGACTCATTTTCCACATTGACAAAATACGACCAATAATGCTCCCATTGTGAAGCTTTCTTCTTTGTGTCTGTAATGTTTTGGGAGAACTTCAAGACTTTATTGGCAGCCAATACATCTACATGAATGTAAGACTGGAGATGAAATGTACAGATCAGTAATGAAAGAAAATGCAAGCAATTCCAAAGTTAAGACTACTTTTCAATAAAGCAGGTTAATGTCTGAAAATGCATAGTTATGGCACTCAATCTTAATGGTGCCTGGAGTAACCACTTTAATATGAAAAAAATGTTTAGATGTTTATTAACCCAGATTAAATTAAATTAGTTGTAAAGACATAAGTTTTTATTTCCCATATCCTTTCCCTTTCTGAGGCCATCACAAAACAGTGTTAATATTGTCGGGTATTCAGGGTGGAACTCATCTTTCACCCTCTCCTTCCAACCTGAAGCAAAATTCTCAGGTTTCTTGCTTCGTCTCCTTTTCTCTTTTAGAGGGGTGAGATGAAAAAATGAAGTAAACTGAAAGGATGATTTTTCTGGCTGAG